CCAAGAGAAGAAAGAGAATGAGAACCACGTATTGCCGCAGATTTCCAAAAGTTCACCTACTTCCCTTGCCTTCAGCATACCTCTCTGACCCCTCCTATTTTTCAGGTTGACCTACAACAGCTGCCGAAATGTCCCAGCAACACACACTGCCAGTGACCCTCCCCGCTGCCCTCAGTCAGTTGCCTCTCAAGACTGTTTCTCCTCCACCCAATACTCAGCAGGAGCACACAAAGCAACCAACTCCACTGCCTGCCCCATGCCAGGAGGTGCCCTCTGAGCTCCCAGTGGAGGACCCCTCAAAGCACAAGGAGAAACACACAACTCCTGTGAAGGGTGTACCTGAGCAAGAGCATGAGCTACAGCAGCAGCAGGACTCGCAGGAACAGGAACTACACCTGGGACAGCAGCAGCAGCAGCAAGAATATCAGGAGCAGGAACTGCACCTGGAACAGCAGCAGCAGCAAGATTATCAGGAGCAGGAGCTGCACCTAGAGCAACACCAGCAAGACTCTCAGAAGCTGGAGCTGCACCTGGGACAGCAGCAGCAGCAAGGATATCAGGAGCAGGAACTGCACCTGGAACAGCACCAGCAGCAGACGTCTCAGGAGCAGGAGCTGCACCTGGGACAGCAGCAGCAACACCAAGAGTCTCAGGAACAGAAGCTGCACCTGGTACAGCAGCAGCAAGAGTCTCAGGAGCAGGAACTGCACCTGGGACAGCAGCAGCAGCAACAGCACGAGACTCAGGAGCAGGAGCTGCATCTGGAACAGCACCAGCAGCAAGAGTCTCAGGAGCAGGAGCTACACCTGGAACAGCAGCAGCAGCAGCAGCAACAAGAATCCCAGAAGCAGGAGCTGCACCTGGAACAGCAGCAGCAACACCAAGAGTCTCAGGAGCAGAAGCTGCACCTGGAACAGCAGCAGCAAGAGCCTCAGAAGCAGGAGCTGCACCTGGGACAGCAGGAGGCACAGGAGGAGGAACTGCATCTGAAACAGCAGCAGCAGGAGTGTCAGAAGGAAGAGGTGCACCTAGAACAGCAGCAGCAGGAGTGTCAGAAGGAAGAGGTGCACCTAGAACAGCAGCAGCAGGAGTGTCAGAAGGAAGAGGTGCACCTAGAACAGCAGCAGCAGGAGAAACAGGAACTACAGCAGCATCAAGGAGCAGGAATCCTGGTGCAGAAGCTTCATCAGGAGAAAACACAAAGTGAGCAGCAGCTGAAAGGGCAGCTGGACTGGGAGGAGAAGCTCCTGGACCAGCAACTAGAGCAAGAGCTGGCCAAAAGAGATGAGCAACTAGGAAAGAAAGAAGAACAGCTGTTGGAGCCATCAGAGCAGCAAGAGGGACTGCTGGAGCAGCCTACACTTGTCCCAGCTCCTGGCCAGCTCCATGAGAGCCAGGCAGCCCAGCTGCCAAAGGGAGAAGTTTTGCTCCCTATAGAGCAGCAGCGGCAGCAGGAGGTGCAGTGGCCAGTCAAACATCAGTAACCACAACCAAGTGTTCTAGAGCCCCTCAGACCACCCACACAAGGGAAGAGACAGCTGCTGGCCCCACTGATCTCGGGTCCCTGAGTGTCCTGCCTCCTCTGTGGACCTGCCTGACCCTATCCCTCTGCATGTCTCTTGGACAGGGCTGAGGAGGAAGAGGAAGTTACTGCACGACACCCACCCACAGGGAACCCAATCCCAACCTCAGGTAGTCAGAGCCTGTGTCTAAGAGACCATGCTAACTCTGAATACACCCCAGTGTGATGCCTAAATCTGTGAGCATGTACAATAACACATAATAAATCCTGGAAGTCCTGAGAGTCTGAATTCTTTTGGCTTTTTCTCCTGTTACCACATAAAGTCCTGTGTATAGGTCAATAGTTAAACTGATCTTCTTGTCCTCAAAGAGGATAGACATCTTGATTGTCTTTAACTCCACTTCTAAAACTATTCAATATAATCAATGGCTTCAGAAAAAAAGAAACAAAACTCAAACCAAAACAAAAACAGCTTTATTTATGTACCCCAAAACAATACCTCATTAAGAAAGGTGTTCAGATATTTTGGTTGGGGAAGGGGATCTGTTCTCTCAGGCCAATGCTGCATTATGCCACACATAAATATCCCAGTCCTAGCTCAAGGCAAGCTAAGCGCTACACTTCTGATCTGACCAGGTTCTCACGTCAGAAGGGAGACTGGGAAGACATCATGGAAGTTTAGGAGCTCCACCTGAGTTCTGACCCTTTCCCTAAAATCATCCCCAGGCAGGGCCAGCAGATGGCATAGTGGTTACGTCACTGGACTCCCACATGGCCAACCACAGATTGAGCTGCAGTCCCGGTGGCTTGAAAATCATACCAGACGAATGAGTGTACATGCTCAACATCCCAGGAGGAGAACTGAGGAGAAGAGATTGAAGCATGGCCATCCTCTGCTGGGGAGTGATTTCTCACTTTCTCGCTCTCAGTCTCTGTCTCTCTCTCTTGGTGAGCACAAGCACCCTAAGGCAAAAACCTCTTAAGAAAAGAAAATATTCCCAGGCTTTCCTTCTTTATTTTCTCTGTATAGAATATCTTCGTGATTTCCAAGAGTCTCGTGATTGAGGAAAACAGAAAAGTGACAGAAGCAGAATTGGGCAAGGTGAGGAGAAGGGGTCTCTGATTAGAAAATGACAGCTTCATTACAGGAAGTAAGGATCAGACCAAAAGAATCATGGAAGCCAAAAATGGTGAATAGGCTAAAGAAATACATACCCGTCACCACTGCAACTCACCCTCCTCCTGCACTCTGGCTCCTTGACATGTCCACAGTCTTTACTGCCATGGATCACATCAGGACTTAGAGCTCTCTCTTTCTGGGACAAGCCTTTCCTTTAACTCTTCAAATCGCTTACCTTTGACTATTTCACTACATCATCTTAGGCTGCTATTCCCAAGCTATTGAAAGTGGTTCTTGCCACAGGCATGAGGTTATACCAGGAACATCCCCATTGAGGCATCCAGGCACTTGAATTCAATAGATCTGAAGAGCACTTAGCATTCCTTCCTCCCCACCCAACCCCCAGCAGCACTCACAGTGTTTCCACCTTAGCTATTCCTTCTTCTGTGTAGTGACACCACCACCTGTACATTCACAACTGCCATTCCTCATTCTTCCTCCTCTTCCCTCCCTGCACCAATGACCAAGTTTTTGCTATCCCCTCCAACACTTCCCAAGATTAGACAGATTCTCACCTGAACTGTTGCAATAGTATTCAGCCTGGTCTCTCTTGCTGCCTATCTCCCCACAATCCACCCTCACAATTCACTTATCACACAGAGGACAGAGTGTTCTAATCTAACCACATCACTCCTTGGGTTAGCACTTGTCAGTGGTTCTCATTACTTAGGTCATGAGAAACCAGGGTCAAGTCTCTCAAACATTAAGCTCAGGTACAATCAGGCAGGAAGATGGGGAGCAAAGGGAGAAATAACCAGAAACACCCAGAGTGTGTACAAATTTTCTTTGTAGTATTGTTTTTGTTTTGTTTTGTTTTGTTTTTCATTTTTGTTGTTGTTAATAGACCTTATATTTTAGATTTACAGAAAAACTGAGACGATAATGTGGAGAGTTCCTATATATATCTAGTTTCCCCTATTAGTAATGTCTTACATTACCATGACATATTTGTTACAATTAATAAAACAGTATTGAATATTATTATACTAGTAACTAAATTTTGTGGGATTTTTTTTTCAAATTTTCTTAGTTTTTACCCAATGTCCTTTATTACTGCAATATATCATCCAGGCTATCACATTACATTTAGTTGTCTTGTATCCTTAGACTTTCCTTGTTTTTGATAAGCTTGACAGTTGTGAGGAGTGCTGGTCATGTATATTATAGGATATCTCTCAATTTAGTTTTGTGTGATGTTTATCTTGTGATTAAGCTGGAGTGTTTAGGAGGATTTAAGGAGGAAGACCAGAGAAGAACCATTTTCATCGCATCATATTAAATGCACATACCATAACATGATTTATCGCAGTGGATATTAAATTTGATCACTGGACTGAGATAGTGTGTATTGGCTTACTGTACACTAAAGTTATTCTCCTCACTCTTTTCTCCTTTATATTAATATATGGTACTCTGGTTAAAAAAAAAAAAGTCATTGTACAAAGCTCACAATTTTAAAAACAATAGTAAAACTCCTCATCATTGAGGGTAGGATATTTACATAAATTATTTAGAGTTTTCTGTACAAACTTGCCTCCCCTCTCTCATTTATTTATTTACCATTTATTTAAATAGACTCAGATTTTATACTTCCAGCTACAATCCAAAGTACTTTATTTTGTTCAAATTGTTCCAGCTTTGACCACTGGACACGCTTTCAGTTGGCCCCTGGGTCATTTGATATATTCCCATCAATATGGGTATTTTTACATTTTAGTGTTTTCTTTGGCCCAGTCACTGTGGTGCAGTAGGAGTAGAAGTGCCCTGCAAGGCTGGAAGCCATATAGCCGACTGCTGATTCAGATCCCTGGGTCAACCTGGAAACATATTGGGTCCACACGCAGGCACCCAGGATCCTGAGGAGCTGGAGCACTGGGAAAAGGAGATTGCAGCATAAAACCCTGTCAATACAGAGGGAATAAAGAGGAAAAGAAGCAAAATATTTAAGAGACACAAAAATGGAAAATTATCTGCTGATGATAGTAAGTACGGTGATGTCTCTGATTGAACCAATGTACAGTGTATTCAGAATGAGAAAAATCATTTGGTATATTGTAATGATACACAGTGATTGAATGTAAAAATAAAAAATAGGAAAAAACAGACTTTTTCTCTATTTTTCTCTTTCTTGTGTGTATGCTCATGTGCTCTCTATCGTAAAAAAATAAATTTTTTGTTTGTTCATTTGTTTTGTTTTGGGAGCACTTTTTTGTTTTCTTGTTTTCCAACACTACAAAGTGCTCCAGGCTCACCTTGTACATTTCTCATCCCAGTCCTAGAATCAGTCATCTCTTCAAGGAGCCCTGGTGTTAGAAACCAAAACTTGGGTATTAGGTGTGATCATTGCTATGGAAGTATCATTTCTTTCACCTCCTCTTAGCTGGCAAAGGAAATTATCAATCTAATCTATCTAACTATATTAACCTGTATGTGTGTGTGTGTGTGTCTGTGTGTCCTTCACTATGTAACCACTTTTATCTATATTAAGCTAAACATGAGCTCATACCAACATCTCCAACTGATAGTCTGTTACCACATGGATTACTCTAGGCTTCTTCTCTTTCTTCAAAGAAATAGAAACCCGCTTTCTATTTTAAACTCAGTTTCTTAATTATTCGTTTTCAGTACACACATATAGCAGAATCAGAATTGTTAACATAAAACCTTATACTCCCATGGGAAAAAATCTTTATCAAGTAGAGTTCAATGCTTACAAGAAGCTCCTTTGCCTTTACTGTTGCATGTTCCATTTATTTTTTTCAATTTTTATAACCCCTTTTATTTACATAAAAATAAAAGTTAATCCTTTTAACCATGATGTGAGGCAGATGAGATTTTAGCTCCATTTTACAGGCATGAGTGGAAGTGCTGTTAGCACATTTAATACAGGACAGATCTAGGAGGCAAGCCCCTTGCTTCCATTTCCAGAGCTGTTTTTTCTTTTTTTAGTTTTATTTATTTATTTAAATTTAATCACATGTCTTTACAGTGTACAACATTACTTTTTCCAGTGCAAATACCATGCATGTAAGTCAAGACAAAGATATTACTCTATACCTTATCATCAGCAAGTAGATTCTCATTTTTTTTTGTCAGTTAAACATACTTTTACTTGCTTTTTCCCTTATCCCTCTCTCTCCCTTCCATATTAAAATTTTTCATATTTCATTGATTCACAAAATATCTTAAACTAAAAATATGCACAAAGCTAGAATCTAGTAACAAGTGCACTGTAATATTCTTCTGAAACATCTTTTTCTTTCTCCATTCCCCTTTTTACAAAGAGAGGAATAAACTAACTTATCTGCAAAAAAGAAAAAAAAAGGTTAATCTCAATTGGGTCTGTTATTTGCACAAAGCTTCATAAGAATTAAATTTCTGATGCAAGGCAACAGATATTATTGTATTATTGAATTTATGTAAATAACCATTCTATCACAAAATAAGGATGTGCATAAATATTTTCCAATTGCCTAGGGATCAGGAAGGGAGAAAAGTTTATGTTTCAATTTTAAAAAATTAGCAAATTGACAAACCTATCAACAACTCACAAGAGAACCCAAATCCTTAAATCTGGAAGACAAAGCATAGACAAAAATCAGTAATGTTTTAGACAAAACACATAGAATTCTATTTCACCAGTTCAGTCTTATGTAATCTCCTTTTGGTTCAATTTGCAGTGTTACCGTGGTATGATCTTTCTGTTTAAATCATGGAAGTTAACATTCAACATTATTAGTGTTATTTTCAAACTTGTCCCTACTATTAAGTTGGCCTTTTTTTTGGTCATTTTTGTTTTCTTATTTC